TTAAATCTTAAGTATTTAAAAGTCCTTAATGGCTTCTAATAATAGCGGCTATTTAATAAAATTTTATCAATAATAAAGATGAAAAACCGTCTGAAAAATCGAACGCCTGGAAAACCGTGAACGCAGAATGAACCCAAGTTTGAAAAACAGAGGTTGCAGGTGAGTCACCACTTCAACAGAAGATAGCACAAAACAGAGGTTGCAGGTGAGTCACCACTTCAACAGAAGATAGCACAAGGCTGATCTCGGCAACTGGTGAGTCACCACTTCAACAGAAGATAGCACAAGGCTGATCTCGACAACTGGTGAGTCACCACTACAACAGAAGATAGCACAAGGCTGATCTCGACAACTGGTGAGTCACCACTTCAACAGAAGATAGCACAAGGCCGATCTCGACAACTGAGGATCACTTTGTGCCTGACTCCACTCACTACCTTTTACTGTGAATGGATAAAGAAAGGCCCTCAAAGAGCTCAATACTAAACAGGCACAGCTAAGGAATAATATGTTCGATTGAACGGTTCAAACTACCGAAGTCACATCGAAATTATACCTCCTAAGTTAAATTTAAAATAAAAAAACAAAAAACAAAATCTGAAGTAAAATATGAATTATATGTAAATTATATATCAATGTAAATCCAAGCAAACAAAAAACAGAACAGAGTTGGTAACTAAAAAGTAATCAACGAGCAGATGAACAAAGAAGAGATAGAGAGAGAGATCCAAAAATTGTGGAAATATTTTGTGAACTTAAGAAGATGAGCAACAAGGCTTCTTTGAATTGGCCTCAGATTCACCAACCACAATGGTTTTACCTTCTTTGATGTTAGCAGCAGCAGCAGCAGGCTCCTCTGAATTGAGGGACTTCTTGCTGATTATCCGGTATATCTCTGAGAGAATTGTTTGGAAAGCCTTCTCCACATTTGTTGCTTCAAGAGCAGATGTTTCGATGAACGACAGCCCTTCTTTCTCGGCATAGCTTTGAGCGTCCTCCGTTGCCACCGCTCGGAGGTGTTTCAGATCAGTCTTGTTCCCAATTAACATGATGACTATGTTGGAATCTGCATGGTCTCTGAGTTCCTTCAACCAACGACTTACGTTATCGAATGTCATCGGTTTTGTTACGTCGTACACAAGAAGAGCTCCAAGGGCACCCCTATAGTAAGCACTGGTTATCGCTCTGTATCGCTCTTGACCAGCTGTGTCCCATATCTGGGCTTTCACAGTTCTTCCCTCAACCTGATCAAAAAGCAGAACAGTTCTTTTCTTGATAACTTTCATAATCAGAGCACAATCAAAAGAATGGATCCCTTAAAACCCACCTTAAGGCTAAAATGTCATATAAAACAAATGATCAAAAGATGTCCTGTTTGTATATCCAAAACGTTTTGTTGATTTTATAAAGCAAAGATTAACTTCATATTCAAGAATCAGAAAATAAAATTGGAAACCATGTGCCTGTAATTTTAGTTTGAGAGGGTAAAAGGGAAAAGGGCTCCGAAAAACCGAACAGTTTCAGTCATCTAGCAAGGAGTCACCACCGCGTTCGATATTAACTCAGCTTACAAGACAAACAAAAATGAATTCGAAATCTTTAGCAGGACAAGAACTACAGATATCACAAAAGTTCCATCATTCTGCAGAGATCCAGATTATGGCAACGATTAGTTCAACAAATGTGCCACTAATATCACATAGACGACCCAAGAAGCTCCAAAATCTATCATCAAAAAGTGTGTTTATGTGCGTGACAAGATCACGAACTAAAGAACATTATCCAGGTATCAACTATAGTCCAAGAAACTGAGATTTAAACGACCACATAATGCAGTGTAAATCAAAAGCTGCAGCGAGCGGCTAGAATTGTAAATGTTTCTCCACTTTGTTAAGTACTTGATGAAATGCATTTCCTCTTTAGAATTGCTATCAAATTGTTTGAAGGTGTCAAGTTTGCGTAATAAAAAAGGAAAGGAAGGAATGGAAGAAGGGTGGAATACATAAAACAAAATCTGAATAATAATTGCATTTTCCAGATTCTTATTTTTAAAGAATGGCATTAAGGTTCTATGGACTGAATTAAATGGCATCAAAACAATCAATTATGATATTCAGATATATCTCCGTTAACAGTTAGGATAGAATCTCTTACCGATCCACAGATCAGAATTTGAATAATTTCCATCAAACGTTATACCTAATCAGGCATTTTTCTCAATTCATCATCGAAATCCAGATCAGTAAAGAGACTAATAACTTCCCGCATTCCTCTAAGTTAAAATGAAAATACAAGAAGAACAACGAATCAAGAACACAGATCCGCAAGAGAAGATGCACAAACTCAATTCAGATTTTGAAAAAACGACTGTTTCAAGCGAGAAAGAAATCAGATCATTCCTTGAATAACAACTTTCAAGAAAGTTCGAGTTCCAGAATAAATCCAAATGCAGATTTACAAACAGATCGAGAATGCAAAGCATGCGAACACACAGCGGAGGCATATATAAATATCCAATGAGAGAGAAATTAAGAGTGAGAGATACCTGAAGAGTACGAGTGGCGAATTCGACGCCAATGGTGGACTTGGACTCCAAGCAAAACTCATTCCGAGTGAATCGGGAAAGGAGGTTGGATTTTCCAACGCCAGAATCGCCGATTAGCACAACTTTGAAGAGGTAATCATAGTCGTCGTCGGGTCTCCTGGCCATATTTCGCCGGTATTTCCTCTCTCTCTCTCTCGTTCCTCGATCTTTGGCTCACAGATTTAGCTTCCCCAAATCTGGAAAGCAAAATTGAAGAATCTGTTCCTCAAGAATCGGCTGCTCCACTTTGAATATGAAGACGAAATGGAGACTCTGCGGACTTCAAATCCTGGGATTGACAGAGCAATTCTATGCCCAAAACTGCCCTTCAAGATAGGGGCATTTTCGACCAACCGCCCCATCATCGACTTAATTACCGAAACATCCCTTATTTACTCTTTAAACTTTTTAATTTTTTTTAAATATCTCTTATTTACTCATCAAATTTTTAGATTCTGGATTTTTTTTAAATTTTTTTTAAATCTCTCTTATTTAATCATTAAATTTTTTATTTAGATTTTTTTTATTCATTATTGATTAAATAATAAACTCAATTTAACCATCCAATTTTTTTATATTTTTAATAAAAATAAAAGGTTAGGTCGTACATATTTATTTATTTTCAAACATTTTAATTAAAATTTACCGTTCATTTAAACGTATGTTTTTATATATGTATATATAATTATATTGTAAATAAAAATATATTTTTACGGGTGTATTCATCTTTCTGTCACGTCAAGCCAACAATGTGGAGTGAAAGACGTGAACAAAAGAGCTTCATTGAGACCTCCTTCTCTAGAGTCCTTGGACAAAGTACACGCTCTGTTACTTTTGATTTTCTCAAAATGCCTCGTACTAACGAAAATAATGTTTTTTACTTATAAACTCATGATTTTCTCCTTTTAAATAATGTGAAACTATTCTCAATAATCCTCAACACGTTATCATTGAAACAATCCTATCGTTCAAGGAGGTAAACCAAAATTGTTCATTGGATGTAAACAAAATCCTCAACACGCCTCGAGAGGGAACAAGGGACTACGTGAATTGGCAAAATGAGAAACAGCTACTATGTGTAGATGTAAACGTGCCTTGAGAGAGGACGAGGGACTGTATAAGTAGGGTGTAGAATAGATCCACTCTGAGAGAAAATAAGAGATTACATAAGTAGATAACATGAGAAACCACTACTATGCGTGGAACAAACCCGCCTTTTTTGATACTAGGAAAAGTGTCACTATCATATGTGGGCCCAGGAGATTTCTAAAGTAGGCCCGAACTTCTTAGAGCCATAAGAAGAGCCTATTGTAACTTATTACGTTAAGAATGGGGCGAGAGCCTACAAATATGTTAGGGTCCTAATAATATTACAGCCAGCAACTGACCTGTGACCCGAGACGAAGAAAAATTAGATTATTAGAAGTAACAATCCCGACCTAAAATGGCTTCAAAAAAATTAATAGAATGACGTGAATATAGTCGAGAAAATCTAATAGGTGGAGGATAGCATACCAACTAAGGAGAAATTTGCACACAAGGACAAACAACCTACAAGCTTTGATGAGCCATGATGAACATTAGGTGAAGTTTCATGATAAATTATAATTTTATTAAAGATAATGTTTTAAAGTATGGGGGAGGGTGAAAAGTTTAATTACTTTAGTAACAGTGTATCAAATATATGACATAGTTTAAACTTTAGGTTAAAAAATGTTTCATCCTTGGGATTTTAAAATTATGTTTATTTACCATTCGAAAAAAAATTAATAATTAATTAAAAAAATTTATAACATATTAAAATTATGTTTAATTTTGATTTACTAATAGTCTTTCAATTTTGATTTATTAATAGAGAATTAAATTATGGAAAGGTTTCATAAGTAATTTAATTTTAAAGTAAAATTGGTTAAATATGAAATTAAAAGTTTAGGCATTTAGGATTTATTTAAATGTTTTAAATAATACGAATGTTAAAATGAGGATATATTACATGGAATAAGTTGGTCGGGGTACTTTTAACTTTACACTTTTGCCTTGTCTTTAAATTTTCACAAGTTTCAATAATACCCTTAAACTTAAAATATATATATATTTAGTTAGGATCGAAACGTTAATATATATTTTTTTTTTAAACTTAAGTATATTTTTAGAGCACTGTTAAAATAATATTTTTAAAATAAAATATTAATTTTTATCGTCTAAAATTAAGGTATTTAAAAAAAAATTAGGAGTATTATTGAATTTTTTTTTTTTATAGTTTACGATTATTGTTAGACAAAATTTAAAAAAAAAGTATTTTTATTAATTTTAATAATTGACTTGGAATTTATTTATTTATTTATTTTTTAATTTAGGCATTTATAATTCATTTTCATTTCCCAAAACAACGGTCATTGGCAAGCCACGCGAAGCGCTGGATGTCATGAACAATCACTTTGATTTTGAACCAAACCTTCAAGCGATCGATTTTCGTCTTCATAAATCATAAATATCTCCAATTCTCACATTTCTCTGGTTCAATTGAATCCACTGGAAGCTCCGCCAGTCCGCGGCAATGGACATTTGCTCCAATGTGCTTGGATTCTCTCGGTTTCTTTCCCCTTCTGCTGTTCGAGCTTCAGCCTATCGTCGGCCCATTTTCGCACGAAGCTCCAGCAGTACTCAAGAACCCACTCTCACTACCTCCATATCTCTCAACAACAGAAATGGCTTCTCAGGTCCTTTCTTCGCTCTCTTTTTCTTCCTTTTATCGGCGTTTTTTGCTTTGATCAAATGGTTTTTCATTCATAATCTTCATTCTAGGTTAAATGATTATTTGCAGGGAAGGCAGAGGCGGATGTTGTAGTAATTGGGAGTGGCATTGGGGGGCTTTGCTGTGCAGGTCTGTTAGCTAGATATGGACAAGATGTTCTTGTATTAGAGAGCCATGATTTGCCTGGAGGTGCTGCTCATTCATTTGAGATTAAGGGCTACAAATTCGACTCTGGTCCCTCGTTGTTTTCTGGGTTTCAATCTCGTGGTCCTCAAGCAAATCCACTTGCTCAAGTAAACTCCCTCACTCTGTATCATGCCCCTTATCAATACTGAATAAACACCTAGAATCTCTTCTGTTACATGAAGCAATATAGAGTTCTAATGAAATGGATTTAAGTGTCTTCTGAGTTCGGATAGTCTTGATTATAATTCTTTTCTTGTGATTCATTGAATGGTCATAACATTTGGCATGAAGATAGGGAGATTCAATTTTCATTTGTAACCATCTGAACCCACTACTAGTAGATATTGTTCACTTTGGCCTATTAATTTGTAACAACTCAAGCTCACCGCTTGTAGATATTGTCCGCTTTGACCCGTTACGTATCAGGCCAAAGTAGATAATATCTGCTAGCGGTGGGCTGTTACATATGGTATCAAGTTAGACACCAAACGGTGTGTGAGTAAGGACGTTGGGCCCCTAAGGGAGGTGGATTGTGAGATCCCACATCGATTGGAGAGGGGAATTAAACATTCTTTATAAGGGTGTGGAACCTCTCCCTAACAGACACGTTTTAAAACTGAGGTTGACGGCGATAAGTAACAGGCAAAGCGGACAATATCTGTTAGTAGTGGGTTTGAGCTGTTACAAATGGTATCAACACTAGACACCAGGCGGTGTGCCAATGGGGGTGGATTGTGAGATCCCGCATCGATTGGAAAGGGGAACGAAGCATTCCTTATAAGGGTGTGGAAACCTCTCCCTAGCAGACACATTTTAAAACCGTGAGGCTTATGGCAATAGTAACGAGCTAAAGTGGACAATATCACACCACTCCTGTATTGCCCACTACCACTAAATGCAGCTTGGCAGACATGAAAAGCCCTTATCATCAAAGCACCCAAAAGTCTTATTTTTCCATCTACTTGCCTGTTAAAATTTTCAGGTTTTAGATGCACTTGGTGAGTCACTTCCTTGTGTCAATTATGATTCATGGATGGTCTACATACCTGAAGGAGAGTTCTTGTCACGCATTGGCCCCACAGAGTTTTTCAAGGTGGATATCAGACAATGAGTTGGTAACCCATTTTACTTCTTGTTCCATTTGCTTTATTTTGATAAGGAAAACATCTTTTTCAGGCACATATTGCCTGTTCAATCACATAGATAAATGTGTATAAGCACCCAAATCAACTACATCCATAAGATTGTGATATCAAAAATTGAAAAGAACAGGAATTAAGCAATGTTTAGTCTGTTACCTTCAGGATCTTGAGACGTATGCAAGTCCAAATGCTGTTCAAGAATGGCAGAAACTATTAGTAAGTAAAATGTAGTCTATTTTCTATTTCCTTCAACAAAATTTTCATTTGGAATATCATTTAGCTTCCATTCGTGTATACAGGAAACCATACTTCCATTGTCTGCTGCAGCAATGGCTCTACCACCGCTATCAATTCGAGGCAATTGGGGAGTTCTTTCAACAGCTGCAGCAAGATATGCTCCTTCTCTCTTGAAATCCTTCATTCAGATGGGACCTCAGGGTATTCTTGGTTCGACCAAGCTTCTCAGACCATTCTCAGAAATCATCGACTCGTTGGAACTTAACGACCCTTTCATTCGAAATTGGTTGGATCTGTTGGCTTTCTTACTTGCTGGAGTAAAAACAAATGGCATATTATCAGCAGAGATGGTAAATATTTTTATGAAGCTTTAGAAAAACTAAAATCTGAGTCTTGTCAGTTTCTGTATTACTGCATCTGGTATTAGACATGCATGTTACTGAGAACACTGTAGGTAAAAACATTCTGTTTTTATTCTCATTTTGCCTAGATATAGTAGCATAAGTCATAACGGTGAGATCTCACATCGGTTGGAGAGGGGAACGAAACATTTCTTATAAGGGTGTGGAAACCTCTCCTTAGCAAACGCGTTTTAAAACCATGAGACTGACAGCGATACGTAACGAGCCAGAGCAGACAATATCTGCTAGTGGTGGGCTTGGACTGTTACAAATGGTATTAGAATCAGACACCGGATGGTGTGCTAGCGAGGATGCTGGGTCCTCAAGGGGGGTGGATTGTAAGATCTTACCTCGGTTGGAGAGGGAAATAAAGCATTCCTTATATGAGTGTGGAAACCTCTCCTTAGCAGGCGCGTTTTAAAACCGTGAGGCTAAGGGCGATGTGTAACGGGCCAAAGCGGATAATATCTGCTAACGGTAGGCTTGGGTTGTTACAATAACTTTCTTACATTTTTGGGCCCTCATGTTTGAATGCCACCTAGGATAACAAATGCATTGATTTTTCTTCTACATTTCAGATTTATATGTTTGCAGAATGGTATAAGCCAGGTTCCTGTCTCGAATATCCTCTTCATGGAAGTGGGGCAGTTGTTAACGCCCTTGTTCAAGGCCTGCAAAAATTTGGAGGGCGTATCTCTCTTGGAAGTCATGTTCAGAACATTATAGTCGAGAACGATCGAGCCGTTGGGGTCAAGCTAAAGAGCGGTCAAGTAAATTCTATGGAATCAATCACAGTCATTGTTAAGGAACATCAACAGTATCCTCCATTTTGTAATCCTCTAATGTCATGATTGAATATGTTGCAGTTTATACGTGCAAAGAAGGCTGTTGTGAGCAATGCATCCATGTGGGATACACTGGCCTTGTTACCTGAAAGTGTTGTTCCTAAATCATATCGTGATGGTGTAAATGCAATGCCACAATGTGAATCGTTTATGCATCTTCACTTAGGCTTTGACGCAGAGGTGAGTGATGTTAGCAATACCATTTTCTTCCTTTTTCCTATGAGACTAAATCCTTCTACAAGGAGAGGATAGTGCTTAACAATTCTCGTTCCATATGGATAGCTATAATGGTTTTCATGTAAAAAGTGTTAGGAACCACGACCCTCCACAATAGTATGATATTGTCCACTTTGAGCATAAGCTCTCATGGCTTCGCTTTTGGTTTCCCCAAAATGCCTCATACCAATGGAGATGTATTCCTAACCCATGATCAACCCCTTAATTAGCTTACGTGGGACTCCTCTCCCACCAATCCTCAACAATACTCCCCTCGAACAAAGTACACTGTAGAGTCTCCCCTGAGGCTTATGGAGCCCTCGAACAACCTTCCTTTAATCGAGCCTCAACTCCTTCTCTAGTGTACTCGAATAAAGTACACTCTTTGTTCGACACTTGAGGATTCTATTGACATGACTAAGTTAAAGGCATGACTCTAATACCATGTTAGAAACCACAACCCTCCACATATTTAGCTTTATTACAGTTGGGTGTTGCTCCCTAGAAAATTCTGAGTTCAAGATGTGTGAAGTCTGTGCATGTGTTTTTCAGGGTATTCGTGAAGACCTGGGAATTCATCATATAGTTGTAAACGATTGGGATAGAGGAGTGGATGCAGATCAAAACGTGGTTTTGATATCTGTACCAAGCGTTCTTAGTCCAGATCTAGCACCCCCTGGAAAACATGTGTTACATGCATACACACCAGGAACAGAACCATATACTCTTTGGGAAGGACTTGACCGTAGGAGCTCTGAGTACAAAAATCTCAAGGCTCAAAGATCTGAGGTAAGTTCTTCAACTTTTCTTAGTCTTTCTTATGTAATGCTTCGAGTTTCAAACACGAATATCGAAGATTTTAAGAACCTAACCGAAACGAGTTTAAACCCGAACTATTTTGGTTGAAAAGGTGATGTGGAGGGCAGTTGAGAGAGCCCTTGGGCCAGGTTTCAAGAGAGAAAAGTGTGAGGTGAAGTTGGTGGGAAGTCCATTGACGCATCAAAGGTTTCTTAGGAGGAACAGAGGAACATATGGGCCAGCAATTGAAGCAGGGAAAGCCACATTTCCTGGGCATTCGACTCCCATCCCTCAGCTTTACTGCTGTGGGGATTCTACTTTCCCTGGCATTGGAGTCCCTGCAGTGGCAGCCAGTGGTGCCATTGTTGCCAATTCTTTGGTCTCTACTTCCCAACACTCTCAGCTTCTTGATGCAATTGGAATCTGATTTCATTTTGACATCTTTTTCATTCCCTTATCCTGCACTTACCATCTTCTGTAAATTTGTATTATAACAATTGGATTAGATATAAAGTTTTATTCTCTGTGTTTGGTCACTTTTTTCAACTTTTGTCTCTTCTTTTTATCAAGAAATACTTATGATCTGATGTCAAAATAAATACATTAGGTTAAAAGGTTAATTGATTGTTTGTTCATTGCTTTCTAGATCTTCATCATTCATTTAGCTCGACTTGTAGAGCTATACTCAACATAAAATAGTTTGTTCTAGTTTTTTCTTTCGAGATTATTCTGTGGTCGTCTATTGAAACAACGGTTTACAACAAAATGACCCACTCCGTCAATTCATTTTACAAGAGTTTCATTGTAACAGGTGTAATGGAAGCTATTCCAGTAATAGGGTCGCCTTTAGTAGAGTTATTACGTGAAAATGCTAGTGTGGGACAACCAGGACGTAGATGCAGATGCCTTAAGCTTATGTAGGAAGACAAAGCCTAGGTCGTGGATGCCTTAAGCTTATGTAGGAAGACAAAGCCTAGGTCGTGGATGCCTTAAGCTTATGTAGGAAGACAAAGCTAGCAACATTTAAGTGTATTGTAGATGGCCATTGAAAATGTTATTATATCAACAACTTCTTCCTTAAAAAAAGAATGTTCTTAAGAGAGGGATAATCAATATATAAGAAATGAAATTGAAAAAAATATTAGTGTCAAATCAATATAATTCTTCCTAGTACTAATCTGATCTCTATAATCTCTGGCAAGAGTAGAAATCAAAGAAATTCCTGCACAAGAAATTGCTGCAACTTTCTTCTTCTATATAACTTCACTAAACATTCAGGTGTAGTAGTATAAGCTACAACCAAAATGAGCAAAATAGTTACAGTTTCTACATTTCTTCTTGAGAATCAATCTAGTTTTCAAGTAATAATCTGTATGCTATGAACATTCTTACTCCAAATCAACAATCTAAAGCAGTGAACTCGAACACCTGAACTGTATCAACATTGTGCATAATCTTAGCAGTTTGGCATAGCAGGAATACAGGATTATGCACATGGGGACTTCCATTTACAAGTATTAAACTAAGATAATCACAAGCACATGAGATTTACAAGTATTTCCTTCGTGGGAAATCTTAGTTCAAAAGAAATCAAGAAAACAAATGGAGTATATGATAAGCGTGCAAAATATAGCACAAACAAAGGAGAAATATACTGACCATCTCTGTTTCTTTTCTTTCTAATTATCTACAGACTAATCAACTGTGTTTGTTACTCCCAAAGCGGCTTTCTCGGGCTCCATTGATTCAGTTTCTGTTCTATGGATCCTACCACTACCATTCGCTGAAAACTCATCAGAGTATCCATATTAGTTCCACACTCCAAATCCCCTTTGCTGTTTACATGATGTCTGGTGGCTGAAATTAGGTCCCATCGGACTCCTTCCGATGTCGGCCCTACTTATAGGCGGCGATGGCGGAAGGGACATGGGAACTCTTTCGGGGGCGTTCAATCTGCCAAACTCTTGTGGAGGTCTTGGAGACTGGTAGTTATTATGATGCTGCAGCTGCAGCTGGTTTTGTTGATAGTGGTAATGAGGCTGTGGAATGTGGGGTTTACTAATTGGAATAGCATTGGTGGGAGGTTGAAGGTTGTTGAAGCTGCAAAGGCTAGGAGAGCTATGGACCTTATGCATAGGAGGGCGGCTGGGTTTCATGCTATTCCAAGAGAATGTTTCTTGGGCTAAAGATTCAGCTGTTTGGGCCTCTGGAGAAGATGATTTTGGAGATGAACAAGCAGATGAAAGGCTGAATGTGGGGCGGTTTGCATTTGAAGGGGAGAATTTTGCACTAGCGGTGGAGCCAGACCGCACAATGCCATTAATAGCTTCAAGATAACGTTGCTGAATTTGTTGGGGATCTGCAGAGAATGGTTGAGCCTCAAGAACAATTGGATTTGAAGGAAATAAGAAACAACGAAGTTTAGGAGTTCCTTCGCTTTCTAGCCGATCATACTCATCAAGCATATGCTTTAAATCCTCATCAGACCTCACAGATACCAAAACATCAAGATCCTCAGGAACCAATTGATACTTAAGCACCATATCTCCATCAGTTAGAGCAGTCAGGTTCTTCATTAGATCTGTTGAAGAAGATTAACATTATGGGAAAGAAGATCGAAGCGGATTTTGAATCCACTAGAAACAGATAACCAAATGTTTGATAATCTTCATTACTATTGAAGGAACAACAATTGATTGAACTTGTCAAAGATCATTTGATATTCGAAATGCAAGTTTTAAATCGCACAAGCAATTCCTCCGTACTGAGAATTAACTTCGCAGATGAACATAACTACAAATCCATTCAAGTAATTCGAACATTATACAGAAAACACTTCAAATCATCAGAATAGGATTTTCCAGATGGTCACAGAATCATCATCAGATTAAAAACTCAACAAGAAAACTTAAGAAGAATCACAATCACAGTAAGAAGGGCGAGAAAATGGAACTAACAGAAACCTGCGAATTTAATATCACGCGGCAAAGCGATGACGCGCGTTTCGCCGCCAACATACTTGAGGTGGCCATCGCTTGGTCTAGGGAGGATCTTACCGCCATAACTGCAAAGAAACTTGAACTTGCTTCTAGGAGACAATGACGGCGTCTCATCTCCTCCTCCATTGCTACCGCCTTCGGATGCCATTTTTGGTACAATCGCTGGAACGAATCCCTACAAAAATGAAGCAAAAGCAAGGGGGGGATTGCTTGAAGTGGAAGTAATGTGCAATGGAGAAGCAAATGAGATTTAGGGAGATGGAATCGGTTGTTTTGGTCTTCAGGAACTCCAAAAGGGAAAAGGAAGAATGGAGGAGAAGAAGAAAGCCATGGGAGAGAGATGAGGGGAACAAATTCAATCCAAAAATGGATAAATCAAATGATCATCCAAATTCAACTGAAATTCTCAAAAACGGAATTCAAATTTTTCTACAAATTTCTTCTCACTCTCAAATTCCTTTCCCTTGTTCTTCTCTTTTACAATTTTGTTTATTTTCGCCCACCAATTAAATTAGGTTAAATTAATAAATGGCCTAAAAAAATAATTCAAAACTACCTTAATTTTATAAATAAATAAAAAATAAAAAATACATTTAAAAGTATTTATGAATTTTCTAAAGTAACATTAAAAGGTTTGTAAACATATACGGTTTTAATTATTTTTTTTACATTTTTTTTAAAATAAAGGTACTTTTAAAATTTGGTGGGTAATTTTTAAATATATCGAACCATAAAAGTATTTTTGAAGTTTTCTTTTTTAAAAAAATTGAAAAGTATTAATGAATTTTTATTTTTAATGTTTATTCTTTTTTAAACATTAATAAAAGTTCAAGAATATTTTTTAAACGTAATAACGGTTTTATATTTTGAAATTCAAAAGTATTTGTTTTTATTAATTTATCTATTTAAATTATATGAATACCATATTTAAAAAATACTCTTAAATCTTGTCTTTCAATTTTGAGAAAAACACTTTTGAATTTTTTTTTTTTTTTTTTTTTTGGAAACCATTAATATTTAGTTTAAACATAAGACTAAATTTTGAAAGTTTTATTAATACCCTTAAATAATAAATTAAAAAAAAAGTTCAAATACCCTTATCTGTTATATATGTTCGGGAGCTTGTGAATACATCTAGACTTGATAGCATATGAAATACAGAAATCTTCAGGTTTCTAGTTGACTTGGTTCATAGTGTTAAGTGTCGAATATGGTAGACGTATTTATGAGTTGGATTGGGTTAGATTCAGATTCAATCCAATTGTTCGGATTATAAAATTTTCAACCTATACAACTGTGTTAAAAGAAGAACCCAACCATAATTTTGTTGAGATTAAGTTAATTAGAACATTTATTAAATTTTTCAAGAGTAACATTTTAGTTTGTACACTTATTTTCAAACATTTAATTAAAATTTAAATTTTCAATATGTTAAAAATTATTTTTTAAAATAAAAAAACTAATTATAAAATTAAATAATATATATATATATATACATATATATAATTGATTCTAACTTAATAGAAGAATTAATAAACCATAAAGTTTTTAAATCAAACTTAATTCAAATAAGTTAGAGAAGGAGTTAATTTTTATAATTTAAAATTAATATATATATATATATATATATATATATATATATATATATATATATATGAATATTTATGGTTTAATTTAAAATAATTTTATATATCTCTTCCATTTTTTTCGAAATTGTTTATTTTTCATTAATATTCATTTTGTCCATTTTTTAAAATCTCCATATTTAAAAAGAATTAAATTTATTTATTTTTCATTAATTATATTCCCCTCCATTTTCATTTTCGTGTTTAACTACAAATAAATCCTTTAGGTTTGCGTTTTCATATTTTACCCACTTTTATTATTAAGATATAGCGACTTTCTGGGCGCGCACACACACATACACATATATATATCGCAAAATTATTTTTTAGTATAAAACACCGAAAATATTTTAAAATACAAGAACATCTAAACCATTTTAAACATTAAAGAGTTAGATAGAAGTTTATACATTGGCTGAATGTGAAAGAAGTTGGAGATGAGGCGACAAAAAAAGATCCGTTCTCCGTGATTTATTCCATTTTTATTCTTAATAAACTAAAATATTAATTTAAGATACATAACATTCTTCAAAATTATAATAATATAATAATTATTGTCAATTTGTAATTTATAAATAATTACGTGGCAAGGTAGATGTAACTAAATTTCTCGTCATTATTTTGTAGGTTAGAGAAAATTATAAAGTTATTTTGAATAAATGAATAAATAATTAGTTATACCAAATAGTTTAGACTTGGAGATTCTTTCCATATTTAGTGATTTTCCCATATTATTAGTAATATTTGTAATTAAAAGATTTACCTATTTACAAATATATGAAATTACCCATTTATAAATATATCATTTTTTTTTTTTAGATATTTACCCTAATTATCCGAATATTTAGTCATATTAGTTGAAATTGGACCAAAATATTGGCATAAGACATGATTTTGTTTATATATATACACATATACATACAAACATTGACGCTATATTAATCAACACTCTTTTTTAATCATGTCCGATTTGATCGTCAGTTTTTAATTAATTAATTGCTTTTTAAAATTGATTTTCTAAATATTTAAAATATTTTTTTTTTATCGTAAATACAATTAAAACTCTCATCATCGATTCTGACTTGATTTTTTTTTAATACACGATTGATTAATTGATAGAACTAAAAATGATTTTGATCGATTTGTCACAATCATGAAGAACTAAAAGGTCACCCACCTTTTAAGGGCTGACCTTATTATTTTAATATTATTTGGAAAGTAACATTTTAATGTAAAAAATTAGAAAAACAAAAGTAATTTATTTTACACATTAATTTCATTCTCTAAAACATTAAAATTTTGTTTACCATCCATTTAACTTAAACAATATATAAAACGTTCGAATTTGTAAATAAAAAAATATTATTATAATTAAACTAATTTCATTAGAATTATCTTTCAAGTTTCCTCACTAAAATTTATATTTTTACGAAATTATGATTTTACTTAAACTTAAATTTAGATTATAAAAAATAAAAACAAATAAAATAAAAATAAAAATAAAACAATATTTAAAAAAAAAATTAAAAGGGTATAAATTGGATTTCTAGAGAGAGAATGTGAGAAATTTGGTTTCTAGAGAGAGAAAATGCAAAAAGTAACGATGGCAGTGGTTGGCAGACTGACTGACGACGCTATTGCTCTGCAAATCAACAAAGAATTCAGAAGAAAACGGACATGTAATAATCAAACTTCGAACTGAGATTCATTTCTAACGCCATTACTCCTCAAATCGAAGGATCAGAGCCAACGATTGAACACAGATTCTCATTTTTCAGTGCAAAAAAGAACAGAACCAGAAATCAGAGAAGAGAATTAGAGAGACAGAGAGAACATTTTGATGCAGGAAAAGATCAAAAGATACTTTACGGATTCGTTCGAAAAAAAAAAGTATCATCAATTCAAAACTAGATTCCAAAAAGTCGCTTACAGGCTCTAACGATCTTCTCTGCCGAGTTCTTCTTCTTCTTCTTCTTCGTCTTCTTCACAGATCCTCCTGTTTTTCTTTCCTCCTTCGAATCTCCATCTTCCATTTCATCATCATCGATCGGCGATGCAAGCGTCGCGAACTGATCGTGAATCCTACAGTACCGTTCCGCTACGGACGAAGATCTCCGCATCGACAGAGCTCTCTTCACCGCTGAATGGAATCCAGAGACTGATGAAGAAACAGAGTTGTTCCGACTCAGCGCGGCGGCTCTGGCGGAGACTTCTCCGCCGTATTCGTCTTCTTCTTCCTCCTCCTCCTCCTCCTCTTCCGGCAAACGGCTGTGTTGCCGATTCGTCTTGTTCTTATTGGAATCGTGAGAGTTCGGATTGGAGACGGCGGCGGCAGCGTTGAATCTAGGAGAGTGAGGAAGCGAAGTGAGATCGGAGTAATCGATGGATCTTGATTTGAATTTGCAGGCGGCTTTGATTTTGGAGTAGCTATCGGCCATTTTTTTCTCAGTCTTTTGAGCTTGTGGATTGGGGAAAGATTATGGCGGAGAATGTTGAGAAATGCTCGGAGATTTATGAAGATTGATGGTGAAAAACAATCAAATAATGCGACAAAAAATCACCAGAGACATTAAAATGGACGGTTTCTGTAATTAAAATTAAAAAAAAAAAAAAAAAAATTCTTCCAATTTTTTTTTCCTGAAATTTTTTATTGAATTTGAATGTTTAATTTTTTAATTCGAAAATAACCTTATTTTATTTTAAAAAGGTTATAATGTTAAAATTATTAATCTTGACTTATAAATATTTTACATTTAAATTTTATGAGATTTTAGTTAGGCATGGATTACTGATAAACATAATTTTTTTTAAATAATTAAGAAATAATTAAAATTAGTAAATTTCTATTTTCCCGCTCAAACCTGTGTATATTGTTAGAGAATAAAATGAATATCACTATAATATTTATTTTTTTATATTAAAAATTAGCTAAATTATTGGATTTATTTGGTAACATATTTATTTATATATATATATATATTTTTTTTTTTTTGTTAATTTATAATACGATCTTTTTAAAAATGAGACATGTTAATAAACATAACCGACCACGCATTTTAAAAGTCAAACGAATTATTTAAATAATAAATAACAAAATAATGAAGCAAAATAATTATTTAATAAAAGTTTAGAATCTAAAAATAGGTATTTTAAAAGCAATGAAACCAACTTTAATTCTATAGTATTACAATAAATGTTATTATTATTATTTATTTACCGTGTAATATTATTTAAAAACACGAATTTGACAAATATAATTAGGAGAGTAGATTCGACTCACTGTCTTTATTTTACTACAACAAATGTGGACGTACGAGCGTTTGAATTTTCAACTTTACCGGAAGGAATACATGTCAATTTTTTTTTTTGTACATACATCTTTAATCTTTTGTTAAATTAATTTTAAAAAATCCATAAATTTTTAAAAGTTTCAATAAATCCTAAAAAAAAACATAATTATTATTAATTTTACATAGAAACGGTTTATATTTTATTTTAAAAATACAACTTTCAAGTTTTTATTAATACACCAACTTTTAATTTTTTTTATAAAAAAAATATCTTTAAATATTTTTAAAAGTTAAAAAATACTCTTATCTATAATATAGAAACAGAACTAACTGTGTTTTTGAAAAACATAATATTATTCGTAAGAGTATTTCTAAAAATTTGAAAGTATTTAATTTTTTTTTTTAAAGTTAAGGGGTTAATAAAACTTTTGCATTTTTGAAAGTTCAAAATGTATTGTTTCAGTCCAATATTAATGGTAGGAGTATTTTTTAAATATTAGTTTTTTTTTAATTTAAGATTATTATTGAAAATTTTAAAATTTTAAAAGTATTTTTAATTAATTTAATCTTAATATTTTAACAATCTTGTGAGAAGCTAAAATAATACTGTTTAATAATAAATTAAATTAGACATTTTATCTTTCCATCACAAAATTAAAAAAAAAATCATATAAATTTTTTTTATAAACATTTATAATTTATGCGAAAAGGAGATTAAACAAGTCACATTTTGATGGAATATAAATAGCTTAACTAATTAAATTATACCTTTTTTTTTTTCACTCATTTATAATTTAAAAAAGTTATATAAAAATTATTAAAAAAAAGTTAAATAAAATGAAATAGTTTAGGGCATGTGGGTTGTTGAATTGATATGGACATATGGAATATAATAATTTTGAAAATGGATGAACAAAAGTTGACATTATTGAAAAATTGGTTTGTTGGCCGATTTTGGACCATAAAAATTAATCGAGATTTGGATTTTTCTTATGTCTTTCTCTTAGTTGATGTGAAAGTGAGTATCGTGAAGGATATATCGTCGTGTTCATCGTCGAGCTTACTTTGAAGTCAACTTCTTGTAGCAATATCAACCGAAAAGAGGAGAAGACGAAAGACAGTATTATGAATCTATGTTAGAGTTGGCTAGTGCTAGAGGTTCGAAATAGCATAGCGTCAACAGGGATGAGGATCAGTTAGGGTAGCACCCCATTTCTGCTTTTGACACTGGAAGAGCCCTATTGAATCAGAGTTCGATGAATTTAGGCAATGTCTTGCCTCACGACGTTACAGGTAGAGGTCTAGGTATAATATCATGTCCGAACAAAGAACAACACTCGAATTAGTCAAACAGAAAACAAGGGCACAATTTCGAGAGATTTTTTGTTTAATCCAAATCTGTTTGTATAGTTCAGACATCCCTCATAGTGAGGGTGAGCATCCCGAGATTAGAAGGGTGACGATATATACCCCATGAAGGACGTGAAGCTTTTATTTAGGTACGAAAGGAATCCCAAAAAAAATTCAAACTTTGGCATGTTGGTCAATGACCAACTCTTTTAAAATATTATTTTTTTGGTTTTATTATCTCAAAATTTGTATTTACAAAGGAAAAAAAAAATGGGTGATGTGAATGACATGTGACTTTAGCATGTATTTTCCTTCTTTTTTTTTTTTTTTTTTTCAATTTTTGCCCATTCCTACTTAATTTATATAATATTCTTTTTGTATTTTTTTAATTATTGCATAAAATAATCAAACATGGGAGAGATATGATATGATTCTTATGTGTGTATATATAAAAGAATGGTCAAAAGTAATTAAAAATAAGTTTTAAGTATTAAGAAATTAATTAAATAACTCGTGGTTGAAACGTTTTATTAATTTAATTAAATATAAATAATAGAAAATTAATTTTTTTTAAAGGATGTTTATTTAATTTTGGTTTAATTCTTAAACTTTTAAAAATAACTATTTTGATCATTAAATAATAATTATTTTTTAATTTAATGACTAAAATCGGCATTTTAAGACCATAAGAATTAAATTAAAATAAAATAAAAATTTAATAGGAAGATAATTTTTTTAAAGTTGTAATAATTTAAATTTAAATTTAAATTAAAAAAAAGGTGAAATTGACATTTATTGATTTATTGAAAAAGATAAATGGTTGGTTTTTTTCTTCCTTTGCTTACACGCTAGGGACCGATATAATTCGAAGGAAAATTATTGAAAAGGTAAAAAATAATTCAATAATTCAATAATTCAATATATCAATATATTTTCTTTTTCTTTTTTTTTTTTAGAGACGGATAATCTTATGGGTCACTCAAAATTATTTTCATATATCTCATGACACACGGGATATACACGAGCTTAGTAGTGAAATAGGATGAACTGATCGATAAAGCGGAAAATTGGAGATCAATGTGTGTGAGATCTCACATCGATTGGAGAGGGGAACAAAACATTTCTTATTAGGGGTGGAAATCTCTCCCTAACAAACACGTTTTTAAATCGTAAGGCTGACGACGATATGTAACGGGCCAAAGCGGATAATATCTACTAGCGGTAGGGTGGTTCATGGTTGAGCTTATTGGGACCAATGTGACCCGATCTACTTTGGTTAGCCTGTGCTATAAGACTAGCTCAAAATAGACTCCTAAGAACAATGGTTTTGATCGGTTAATGTGAGATTTGGTTGCATTCCTAACCATCTTCTCCTTCAACTGAGAACAACTAAACCTACCTTCAAATAGTCATTGATTCATCTAACTTTTATCTCGGTTCACTTCTCTTCGTCGATGCATATCACTGGTTCGACAAAGTTCAATAACGAGCCGCTGGCTTCTTTTGTTTTACACCTATAGATTCTACTAGGAATGTTAAGTCGAGAGTATGTCTGTCTTAGGAATAACGACTCTCAACTGTTCATTCATTGGACTTTTCCCGGGATTCAATCATGAGGAAACACTTTCTCGGCTTAGTCAATCTCTTTGGACGGGCTTCTTAATAAATATTGAAAGTATAGGGACCAAGTGAATAAATATTGAAAGTATGAGAATTAAAATAATATTTAAACCAAAATGAAAAGGAAAACGTGTGGGTGAGCTTAATTCATCACAGGACAGTGATGTTNACTACGAAATTAAAAAAAAAAAAAAAAAAAAAAAAAAAAAAAAAAAAAAAAAAAACCGAAAAGTTCGACGGATTGCCGGCTTCTACCTCACGTGTCGATGAAAACTCTTTGGTCAAACCCTCCAAAGAAGAATTTATTTATTTATTATTTATTTTATTATTTTTAAATTTTCTTTTTCCCTTCTGAAAGAAAGAAAAAAGAACTCCATCTTCTAGGGCTCGCAATTTACTCTTCACTTCGCGCTCTCTTCCTCCTCTCAATTTCCTCTCCAATTCGAGGTCTATCAATGTAAGCACTGCGAAATTGATTGTTGTTTTTGGAGATTTCTGTTTGTGGAACTTTGTTCTTTCTACATTTCTGCTGAATTTGAATCTGGTTTCGACTTGTCGTTGTATTTTATTTTTCTTTATTTGTGAATTTGAGCTCTTATTGGCTTTTGTATTTTTTGGGATCGTCAACGAGCTTTATCACAACGTTAACTGAAGTATAATTGCTGTTACCCCACTGGAGTTTTGGATTCGGTCATGATAGTCTGAACTGTTTAGATTCTGTTTCGGTCAATTTTTGACTTGGGATTTGATTTGCTGTGGTGTTTATGGAGATTTGGATCTAGCTTATTTGTTTTGAGCTGGATATGTCCTCTGCCTCGTATGTCGGGTCTTAATTTTTTAAAGTTCCTTCTTGTTTCAGCTTAGTATTTATCTGGTTGGTATTTGCTGCTAATGTGTAGTGTTCATCTGGTCGTGGTCTATAGTGATGTGTGCTTGAGTTATGGCGCTTAAAGTTCATCCTTCCAAGGCAGCGGAGATAGCCATTGGATCTATTGGTCGTGGTTATGACATAACGATTGATCTAAGACTCAAGTACTGTAAAGGGAATTTTCATGGTTCTCGGTTGATAGAAATTGATGAAGGTGTGGGCCATGAGATTGTTCTTCCTGGTGGGATTTTAATCTCAAATGTACCCAAATCAATTAAGTGTGACAAAGGGGAGCGAACGAGGTTCAGGTCTGATGTTCTCTCTTTCCAACAGGTATTGCTCTTAATTTTAATGCTTGGATAGTTATGGATCTGGTACTATGTTTTTCTTCTGAAAAGCTTTGGTACGATTATGCTGTAGCAGTGTGTGATTCTGCATGATAACGTATTGTTGGTAATATTAGTTTGGTCTTTGACTCTGTTGAAATGTAAATAGGTTGTTGGGTTAGAGGAGGAATGAAAGGACAGTTTTTACTTGCCTCCACGTTGAACTTTGTCTAGTTTTTTATACCCTCAAAATCACATCCACTGAGAAACCAGTGTCGTTATCTGGACATAACTTGAAAGCTTGCATAACGTTAGAAAGCACATGCTTAGATTCAAGCACAGCAACACAGTGGACTAGAACAACTAGCATTCTCCTGTGCAATTTCCAACCATTCCCGGCCGTTTTATTTCTTCTTTAGGGGCTGTAAGAACCACCTCCCTTATCTGTTTGTGAGGGGAAATTTCAAAAAAAAAAAAAAAAAAAAGTCCCAAATTTTCACGTCAGCTTCTCCAAGATTTTGGTCCTGCAAGGTCTCCAGGAGGAATAAATTTATATGTGAACAACATATTTTGTGTATATATACGTGAATGTTCAGGTGGAGATCTGCATATGTGATGTTAGTCGTATGGAATTGAAGGAAATCTAGGTATTAGTAGCCTTTAAAATTTTGACAAGCGGTTTAAAGATGCATAGGCTGTATTTACATTCTTGTTTAGCTTCTAACCCCCAAGGGAAAAAAAAGATGAAATGACTAAACTATTCTGTATAAAAAATTTCAAGTATGAGGCAATTACAGTTAGAGTATTCAAGAGCGTCTAAATGAAATGTCTTTGTTTTATGCATCTTGGTTTATAGGTTGCTCTAATTAATCTTAGATTTTTGTATTGAGTTCCTTGTTGTTTTGCTTCTAGGTTTTTAATCAATAGTATTGGAAGAAAAGCGTAATATTTCATTTCCATTTCAATTAAGCATTTTATTCATTTTACTTGATTTTTCTTGGAGCAATCCAGCATCAAATCCTGTATTTCAGAAGTTAAAATAACTTTCCATAGATTTTTTTTTTTAAAAAAATATATTCTTACAATCCTGTTTCTCAATGATATAAGATTGTCAAATATAGTGCAATTATGCTAAACCATACTTTTCTGTTCTTGTGTGTTCTCCAATGTCTACTAATCGTGTAGCATTAAAAATTTAAAATGCAGATGTCCGAGCAGTTTAATCAGGAGATGACTTTGACTGGTAAAATTCCTTCAGGTCACTTAAACACCATGTTCGAGTTTTCAGGATGTTGGCAGAAAGATGCAGCCAATACGAAGAACCTAGCTTTTGATGGGGTCTTTATTACCCTGTACACGGTTGCTTTGGAAAAATCACAGATGGTACTCTGTGATCACGTAAGGAAAGCAGTGCCTTCAACTTGGGACCCTGCTGCACTTGCGAGGTGCATTCCTTCTTACAAGATACAGAACTATTTTTCTCTCTTTATTTCCTCGTTGCTAAGTAAAATTGTTTTATATTCCTTCTAGTTCACACTCCGGTAATTTGTTTTAGTTCTACCTGATTAGCGGAGAACAAAAGATCATATGAGAACTAGCAACATGTCCTTGAGTTTAGTGGTCCCTATATAATTAATTTGACTATTTGATTTGAGAGGAACAATAGAGTTCTAATGGTATGGGGGTTTTGGAAGTAGGCTTAAAACTCAACATGCTAAGAAAAAAGAAAAAGAACAATGATAGGTAACTTTGTATGTCAAGTTGATGTGGTACATTAATAAGGAGATCTTGCATTTTATGATCTCTTCTCTTGTTTTAGTAGTTAACCCTTATGACTGTCCTGCTAATTTGTCTCCATAATTAATTTTGGGCAAGTCTTATGACGTGCTATTGACAGTTTCCAACAATGTGCTGCCAGTGAATGATTGATTTATCCTTTCTTTTTTGTTTCGTCCTTAAATATTTAGCTTCTTTTTTAGTCATATTATGAATGCATTATTATTTACTTATATTTTAGCCGTTGTAAATGTTATTGTCAACTTTTGCTATAAACACTGATGTTTAAGAAGTTAAATTGTGTTTTTCACCTTTTTTGAGTTTGGGAAGTTAAATTAATCATGTTGCCTACTTTATTGTCTTAGGTTCATTGAAACCTTCGGCACCCACATTATTGTTGGTTTAAAGATGGGAGGAAAGGATGTGATATATATGAAGCAGCAGCATTATTCTACTCTTCAACCTTCTGAAGTGCAGAAAAGATTGAAGGAGATGGCAGATAAAAGGTTTTCAGAGACCATTGGACAATATGGAATGGGTTCTGAACAGATTTACAACAGTGACAAGGTTTCTTATATTTGAGCATATTTATATAATTTGTTTCTCCAGCAAATATTATTTTAGTTATTGATGATTGCTAAATATTTGAAAACTGAAATGGGTTTAGATTCTATTCTAGTTCTTGAAGCATAATTATTCCATTTTGGACTTTATACTTTCAAATATTTTATTTTGGTACTTTAATTCAAGTAAAATCTCATTTTTGGTACCTGTTGTTAACGTATTGCATTAAATAGAAATCTTTACCCATTTATTTCAAAGCTTACTACATGATCCAACACGTGCCTTAGAAAGCAAGTCCATGGGAAATGAAACACTTATGATTGATTAAGTGAAAGATGCCACGAAGTTGTTAAACATATTACTGACATTTAGTTACAAAGTTGTTACCGTCTGACATACTTATCTTCGCTGTGCTTATTACCTTAGTTCCTTTAGAAAGTGATGCCTGATTATATTTTAATCGTTCTTCCTATTTCTTGTATTCACTTCTAAGCCTAATACTAACATCCCCTAGTTGGATTGGTAGACGTGATTTTATTACATTCCAGACTAGATTACTTTATATATTAATAAATCATACTCATTAAAAAAGGAAAAAAAAAAAAAAAAAAAAAAA